CGATTCTTTGTGAGTCAGACAGTCTGTGTCCTGTGTCAGGGCTCCCCAAGAACATGGAGCTGACAGGTAACAGCACTGTGCCAACACAGCTGGGTTCACACTAGGGATACGGCCAGAGCGGGGTACGTCTACCCAGAAGCTAGCCAAAACAATCTGCTTCCCAGGCAGTCTCTGATGTGGCACCTGACTCCCAGAGGCCCTTCGCAATACCTCTGCATTTCAGTCCCGCACCTCTGACAGGGGAGGTGGAAACTGCCCTGTCTGGCAGGAGCACAGCCTGCAATGCGCATAAAGGCCATGGAGAAAGTGCCATAGATGTGCAAAATGTTCACAACCGATGTGCCCATGCCGGATTTATTTCACCAGCTCTGCCCAGGCCTGGACACAAAGACAGAGAGTGACCCAGGCACTGCTTAGGAATCAGCAGATCCCATAAATCCAGCGCCGTCTTCCCTCTTCAGTTCCTTGTTGCTGGGCCTGGTTTCTTTGGGGACATGGCTAAGGTTAACAGCCCGAAAATTCCTCTGACCTTGTGTTTATCTTCTATCTGTTTGTGAAGTCAACAGACCTCTCCTTGCCCCTGTTTCCAAAACAACCACTTCCAGGCTTTTGGTAAATAAATATTCTTTAAATAAATGATGCTCGCAAAATTGCCATAATGAATCAGTGCCTGAGCGTGGAAGACCAGGGAGGAATGAAGCTAGGGGAGGGCAGACTGGGCTCCACCTGCAGAGGGAGCATAAATGATGGGAGGATCCCTCCACACTCTTCCATGGACCTGATGCTGAGCCCAGCCTTTGATATATTTGTACCAATGTAGATGCTGCAGCCTGGCTAGGAGGGGAATCAAATCAGTCTTGACTCTGCTGAACACAGGGGAAAAGGTTGATCTTAAAAAGTTGTTCACCACCTCAGGTAGGAAAATATTACCATTCTTGGTCCCTAAGCGTAGAGCAGGACCATAAATTGTCCTTCTAAGTCCACTACTAGAGGGTGTGCAGAGCTCTCCAGAACATAGACATCAACACAACACGGGCTTTCACCCTGCAGGAGTCCTACTCCAAACCCCATTTTGCAGACTCTGTTACATGGGTTCAGACACACAACACACTGCCTATCTGGAAAATGTGGAGTCCATACAAGATGCCCTTGAATCCAGAGTGTTGTCCCTTGAAAAACATGTAGTAACTTTATTACATCGGAAAAGTATCACAGGAAATGTCTGTTCTCCAGGTCAGCTTCATCTGAGGTAGCAGCTGGCTCAACGTGAACCCCATCATCTACTGACCAGACTCTGCACTGCCACCTCCTGCAGGCAGCTAGCATAGGATAAGTGGTCATGTGTAAGCTCCCACAGAAGTTATTCCCTAGTAACTACATCATGCGTCTGCACCCCCATAATCCTCGAACCTAACAGCAGTCATCAGCATCACTGTCCGAGATGAGTGGTTTTTTTACCAAAACTGTAGCATTGAATCATAGACTAGTAGGACAGACAGAGACCTCAGGAAGTCCCATTCAATCCAACCCCCTGCACAAGGCAGGCTGACCCCTGACCAAACCAGCCCTGTATCAAGCATCTGTATACAGTACTTGAGTAGCTTAGGGTGTATTTTTGCAGAGCACTAGCTCAAAAATGAAATCTAAACCAAAAAAGTATCCCCACTACACACTTTAAAACAAAAGGCAGCCAATAAAACAATGTAAGTACAAATGCTGCTTTTGTTTGGCTTTAACCTGTTTGTAGCTGGACGACCATACAAGGATGTTCGCTTGCAAATGCAAAGCAAAAAGGAAACAGAGATCCTTTTAAAAAAAGGCCACCCTCAACTCCCATAAAGAAGAGATAAGGAACTACGTGATATCCTCACCACACACAGAACTGAAGGTGACAGGCTACCTTCTTCGTGTCCCCTCATCCTTTGAGTCACATATGCATGCACGCTCAGTGCTTCCGCTGAGGCCGTGTTGGTCCAAAGTGAGATTCTGTAGCTCCTGTCTCCTACCAAAGGGGAATCCCTGACTCCTCGCCATCACATTTAGCCCACGCTTCATAGTCAGAGTAGCTTGGACCACTGTTGGATTGTTACTGGGCACCTGTAGAGCCTTTTACCCAGTTACAGTGGACTGCAAAAGCTTAAGCTTGGTCCTGTTGCCTGCCCCACCAACTCTAGAGCAGGTTCTCAGTGGGTTGTTCCACTGCAGTCATGGCCCGTTGCCCATTTCTCACAGCCGGGGACCTTGACCCTTCCCTAGACTGGCAGCAGTTCACTTCTCCATCATAAATCCTGAACCTGCAGATTGCTCCTCTCCTGACAGTGTTTTGATTTGTATCAGCATGGCCATTTTACAGAATATCTACCTCCCGCTGCCCCAAGATGTGATTTCCCATGACAGGGAGAACACAGCACTTCCTATAGCCACATTATTGTGCAGGCTGCCAGTCGCACAGTAAATGGCTCCTTGGCACTGCCACCCATAACAATGAGTGCTATCTGTCCCCTGGGCTCCCACAGCCAACAAGCATGCAACATCCAACCCTTTATGGCAAGACTGACGGGCTACAGCATGCAGGCTTCCCAAGAGACAGCAGCAAAGCAACAGATTTAATGGAAAAACAAGCTGAATACAAACTACTCCAGTCATGGAGCACTGCTATCAGCTCATTAGTATCCAGGGTTCCCTGATACCCCTTTGCCATACGGTTTGTGTTGCTTGGGATACTTTTACAAAGTCTGATTTTCCGTGCAGGGAAATGATCAGCAGAAGTCAGAGTGTTTTTGCTTTCAATACAGCTCATAAAGTCTGGCTTCGCTGAGCCCTCCAGCTGATGGCAAGATGCCAGTAGTGACTATAGCTTGAGAGCCTCTGTTTTTATGTTGATACCTATGGACTTAGAATAAAAACTTTCCAGAAGTACCTCGAGGCGTGAAAAGTGAGACTCATTGTCACAAGTAACGCAGGGTCTGTCATTGCAGTGAGTCTGGTGTGGTTTAGGCATATCCAAGGCAGCTTTAGACTAACTGGCTCAAACGCCAGTAGCAGTTTAGCATAGAGCTCAGCATGGGCTTCCAAACCAGCCTATGAAGCAGGGTGAATTAGTCTATACGGAGATCCAGGATGCCTGCTACTGGTACCCAAACTAGCCAGTTTAAAGATAGATTGCATATGTCTATATAACACTGCAATTGTGCAATCGCTGCTCCAACTACATTGTAGACATATTCTCAGGTACTTAGGAGCTAAGGCCAAGATTTTAAAAATCAGCAGGTGTCAATTTTGGGGTACCCTTTTTGAAAATCAAGTCCCTAAGGGCTCTTAAAATCACTTGAAAATAATAGCTGTGTCACTGAAAGGCAACAGAACATAACCTTCTCAGTGCCTATATCACTTCTGAAAACAAGTTTTAAAACCTAAATCACTTATATATGTACAGAAATGCAAACCTTAGCTGTACCTCTCTGGTTCCCCATGTATTTCAGTGGACATCCTTTGCAGTCCAAATAAATAACTGTTCTCTGCCCTACTGCCTGTAAAATGTAATGCATGTGCAATCATCAGCAGTTTCATTAAAAATCTGAAGGCTTTAAAATATATGGATTATCCACAGAATTCAGAAATCAGCAGCCTTGAGATCAGTCACCCTACTCTGATTAATCTGGATTTATTCCCTGAAAAGAGATTCTGATTGTAACAGTGGATTTACCTCTCCCTGTTCAGTTCATCACCAATATATTACAGATGGGAAGGGCAGGCTCTAAAGCAAACAGACTACGTAGAAATCTACAGAGTCCCAAGCACCTGGCACGCTCTGCAGATCATACACCACGTATGCTGATGTTTTCATAGCTGGGTGGTGGGGTAGCTCTTGGGTCATCCTGCAACTCCATCTCCAGCCGCACAGGTAAGCTCCTGAGCAGCTCGCTGTCTGAGGAGCTGCGTCTCCAGCTCCCTTGCCACATCTCATCCTCATCAACTACTTGGTGAACTGGCGGCGTATTCTCCTCCTTCCTGCCAGGAGGCTGTATGTAACCAAGGGTGCCTGCAGCCAGCCGGCAGCTCAGGGCTTCTTCATAGGTGGGGACAGCATTGGCGTCCCAGGTGCTGAAAGGAAAAGCAAAGCAAAACTGCATCAGGGGAAACCCAAGGGCTGTTAGTTTGTTGAAGAGAGTTTATAATGAAACACAAGCATTAACCTGCAAAGGTTCCAAAACACCTGGCTTCCAAGCAGAGAGGTCGGGTTTTTGTCATGTTACTCTGCTTAAATGTAGAAGGGGGCAAGGGAGGAGAAACCCACCACGACCCACTGCACAACAATAGTCACTCTTCTGCCACATGCTGGTCCCTCCAGTCAAGTGTGTAAAGCACATGGTGGTGGTGGCGGTGGTGATGGTGCTGGGCATACGGCCAGATCTCCAAAAAGCACTCAGCACCTAACAGCTTCCACTGAGCACTGCTGACACTCTGGCCCCCGGCACTGGTGGCATTTTCCTTGCAGGTCCCAGAAACCACGTGAAAGGGAAGATACACTCGTTCATACTGCTTTCCCATGCAGGTCACTGCAGACAGGAGGGGAGGCAATTCAAGAGACTGCTGATGTCTTAACGGATTACCCATGTCCTGAAAGAGGTTTTGAGGAACCCTGGCATAAGTGGCTGATGTACACAATACTTTGGTGCAATGCCACAAGGTACCTTGTGGTAGCGCATGTACCTGAAAAGTGAGAGACTGAATGCCTGAGTGGGGAAGAGGGCTGCATGATCAGGTCAGAGCAATGTGCAAGCTGCTGTTGATCTGCCTTAGGTCATACGGGTTTGTGTTTAGGAGACCTGGACACCTACAAATGAACCACACTTCTTCCAGTGCCTTTTCAAATCCCCCTCTCCCCTTATTCGCCTTTGTTTCTTATGGTGCCATCCTACACCGATTGTGCCTGCCTTCAGTGCCCCATTTGCATCTCCCACAAATGTCTTCCTAACTCACGAAATGTGCTGTTCAAGCTAATTCTTAAGGGCAATACCATTGCCTCAAATCCCTCTTCAGCAGCCACACTGGGAGGCCTGAAGGCCTGTGATGCCCGCCTTCTGCTGGGCTGAGCTGAATTTCTGGTTCTTTGGGTCTAAATTATACCAAGAGCCAGGACTCAGGCTGCCGGGCAAGGTACCTGCCTGACAGGCTTCCAAAGCAGCCTATAACAAGGGGCAACAGGTAAGCACAGCAAACGAAGGGAGAGAAAATGGAAGGCTGGAGGGTAGAGGAGCAAAGGCCCTAAGAGCAGTCAGGGTATGTAGGTCACTGCAGTAGAGCTGGGGCTTTCCAGTGCCTTTGGTTTGTGGCCTCAGATCCCCGGGGTGCTCCCATGCTACACATGCATAACAGCCACATTATTTTGAATGTTATTGTTCGTTTGCCCAGGTTAATCCTTAACCAACCGTCAGTGGGGAGGACCTGGGAAAAATACAATATTTGTGCTACTGGTCTCGCACTGCTGTTACTTTCAACCTCCTTTTGCTGAGTAAACACAGCTTGTGTACAGGTAAAACATTCACACAGCTCTTCACCTTCTCATTTCCCCTTTCCTGAAGGGAAGATGGTTATAAATGAGGGGGAAGCAAGTCAGACCACAACCACAAACCTCTCAGGCTGAGCCTATAAAAGGACATGGACTGAGATGTGATGGTTGTATGGCAGCAGTAGGACCTTGTGACACTGCTTTGCAGTTGGCAGACACAAAAAAGAAACCCCAAGGGGCTCCTTACAAACCAGGGGGCCCCGATTCATAGGGCCTTGGAAACTCAGACCGTGCAGACTTCTGTATGCAATAACAGGGAGGCAAGACCTGGGAATGGACTGTCATGGGAAGGCATACGTCAAGAGACTATCTTTTATTTTATTTAGCATATGCAGTTTCGGCATACTGTTTCCTTCATCTTAGGCAGTATCATCACCAGTGGGAAGAGCTTGAAGGCCACAGGTAGCAAAAGGACACAAGTCAGCGATGTGGGACATGGTTTGAACTTGTCCACAAGGGCATTTGTGATCATAGCGAGGGCCCGACTGGTATAGGTTTGAGGCATAGTGACCCCGTCCAGTTTGAAACCAGTTGAGAAGTGACTATTGTGAAGATGGAGTTCACTGCAGGGATTGAGGAGTTGGCAGTAGCTATGTACATCACCCTACTGTGTGTCAGTCCTGACCTAAAAGGATTGAGCCTCTTGAGGGTAGCCGTGCGGTACTGGAGAAGTCTCTAAAATGGAAAGTCCTGTATATAAATAATAGTGGGTATAGTGCCAGTAGATGGCATTCAAGCATTCTGTATTTGGCCAATGCCCAGCAAAAGGAATCCAAACCTAAGGTACCTACTTCTTATAGTCATGCACTTTCATATAACACTCCACATTGTTCCTGGGATTCGTAGAAACAGCCTGATTTTTGTTGCTGTGCACAACACATGGCTAACGGCCTGGAGCTTTTAATTTCAATACCTGAGAGGACAAGGCTGTCTGGCTCTCAGCTGGTTTAATTTTGGGTGAGGCAAAAATAGAGCTGGTCAAAACAATTCAGACAGAACATCTTACCCCTTCAGACTGTGCAGGTGCAGCAAAAGCAAGAGGTTTTGTGGAGATCGTCTGATTTTAACCAAGTGGAGGCCAGGCAGGTTTCTGAACAGCTCAACTGCCTGATTCCCCATCATGGTCCAACCCCATAGCTGCTGGGTTTGTGATGATAGCTTAGTGGCCCTTCTCACAGCTATAGCATTTGATTGGTGATGATTTTTCTCTTTAATTTTACTCATATTTAGTACACTTTGCTTCTATTTCAGGTGGGATTCATCATAAAGAAAAAGTATTTATAAGGATCCTGAGGCCCCCGGGGTCTGCAGCTTTGAAGCAACCTGTTGGCAGGCTTAGACCCATTCCCTTTTGCAGAGATCTTACAAATTTGGGGACAAAGGGGTTGTCCTGAATTACAGCAGGGAAAACATAATACTGAAGTTGTCTACAAAATGGAATAGCTGGTCTTTGCACAGCTCATCTGAAGTTTTCACATGTGAGTGCCAGCACAGCTAGTGTTCAGAGAGCTCTTTCTAAGCAGTTCTGCTCTCTTTCCTGCCCTGGGTGTATGTGGTGCTGGGTAGATAACCTCTGGGATTTTAGGGAAGAGCAGAAGGATGACTAACCTGGAGTGAGCCTGAGCCTAGCAGAGGTAACTGTTTGCACTTCAGCAGGTTCGAGCTGGTGTGGATCAATGCAGCTCTCCTGAACTGAACTGATTCAAGCCAGCTGAGAATCTGGCCTTCAGACTTTCAAATGCTTGCCAAAAAACAACTGGAGCAAGTGGAAGCTGTAGTTTGTGTTCCCGAGAGAGACATTTGCGGTAAGTGCCTCTGTTCCTTTTAGGCCTTTGATTTCTACAGCCCACTTTAATGAAGAAAACCTTTTCATGGTACAGCAAGACATTACTTTCCCTCTTGGCAGTTAATTTGTTTTCAAAAAACGCACCTAAAATGTCTCAAGGAGGGAGATAAAGCATGAGCACAGATGAGAAAAATGGCTTTGAGTCAGAACTAGGAACAAGTCTCTGAGGCTTTGTAGGATGCTTCATGCCTGGCTATGGGTGTAGACGACCACGTTTAGAGGGTTACTGCGAGTCCTTCCATAGCCTTCACAGGCACTAGGTCAGATCCTTAGTCTAGCTGTATTTCTGTATCACTTAGCATTTGGTTTGTGTTGATTTTGCTCTTTAGTTTTAGGCGGGGCATAACAAGCAGTTCCTGCACTGTGAGTTGTAGTCACAGCTGCTGCCACCATTCAAAATCAGCCCCACCTCCCCCTAGCTGTGCAGTATTCATATTTATTACCCTCTGCTTGTATTTCAGGTGGAGTTAATTGTACAAACAGGGAGCTTTGAGGACTGCATACTCCAGGCAGAAGAAAACTAGAGTCTGACTTAAAGAGTAGAGGAAGCAGGAGCCTGATGAGGGAGTTAGGTCTTCTGTCAAACACAGACATTTCACAGCATCCTTCCCCACCCGTGGCACAAGGATAGTGTCTGAGGCCTGCGTGTAGTCGAGCACAGCCACATGGCTGGAAGCTTTGGTTAAACCAGGGGTGTCAAACTCAGCTAGCCCCACAGGCTAGATAAGGACTGCTGGGCCAGTCTGCAAGCCAGACCAGGACTGACCCCCTGCTCAGCACCCACAACATTGGACCCAGCCCATGCACCATATGCAGCAAAGCCCTGGGCCTGGCTGTGCACGTGGCATGCAGGGGGGGTGTGCTATCCGTGGCACGCAGGCTGGACCCGACACTGCACAGGCAGCGCAGGAGGTCAGTCAGGGTGCCACATGCAAAGACCCACAGGCCAGACCATGTGGCTTCATGGGCTGGATCTGGCCCGTGATCCATATGTTCAACAACCCTGAGTTGCCAATTCCTGGTCTACTGAAAGAACTTGGGTATTCAGGTGGTGGCATGTGCCAGGAAATCAATCTCTGTTACAACAAATACAACGTGTCCAGCTCCATGGAGAGTTTAATCTGAGCAACAGGAAAAAAAAAGCCCCCAAATAAGCAATTGGGCAAATGGCAGAGATTTCCACAGGGCGTAGATGCAGCAGCCACACCGCAGGCTAATGCACAGCAAAGTTCCTAAAATAAGATTTCCATCCAATGCAGAGGAATGAAGCTGAGTGACACTAATTCATTTTCCCAGCCCTAATGGAGAGGAGGATTGTTGTTCCATGGCACATCTGTGCTGACCTGCCTGACACTTCCCAGTATTTTGCAGAGCTGTTCCCATCATCCTGGCAAAACACAGGCCAAATAAGAAGGATTGACTGCCCTGCCAGACCGTTTCAATGGAAAGGAGCTCCCCCCTCTCCCAGCAATTCCACCAGTCACACCATAGTGTTCTGCTTGCTGAAATCTGTCAGAGAGACTCAGTCTGATGATTGTTCTCTTGGGCTAAAAACAAGCACAAACGATGCTGGTCCAGCACATATGCATATGGAGAGAGCCAAACTGCGAAGTGAGCAAACACTACAAGGAACCACAGGGGCTTGATGCAATGAGCACAGAGAGGAAGTCTGCTGCAGACTGGGCAATGGGGAACACATCCGAACAGGAGCCTCCATGGCAGCAGTGGCTATCTCAGAATCACAGAAAATAGGGCTGGAAGAGACCTGGAGAGGATTTGGCAGGATCAACAATATTTCAGCCCTCCCTGACCAATATTTATCTACCAGGTCTTGAAAACCTCCAGTGATAGAACCTCCTTCATTAATCTATTCCGGTGGTAAACTATCCTTAGAGTAGAAATGTTTTGCTCATAATTAACATATTCTATGTTTGATGCAATACTTGTATGTTCTAAAATGATCAAACACTGCAGCAGCCACAGGGAAGGATTGGGACCGGGAGAGAGAGGCAGCATCCTTAGGTAGTTATCTCATGGTGGCACACGTTAGTGGGAATATCCCAACCCACACCCCCTCCATTCAAACTTCACAAGGGTCCAAAAAAGCCAAGACCTTGGCTTAAAGAAAGAGGATTGCATCTTTATAGCATGGGTCAGCAACATACAGCCCACAGGCCAGATCCGGCCCCCAAAGTCTCTAGATCTGGCCAGGAGGCTTTGACAGCATGTTGATGGCATGCATATCGTCACACTGGGACTAGGGCTACGCAGTGAGGAGCTGCGCCTGTGCCATAGCCAAAGAGCAGGAAGAAGCAGTTGTGGTGGCAGCAGTCAGGTCAAAACACCAGCCTGCATCGGACCCAAGACAGGATGTTCCAGTCCACAGCTGGATACTACTTTATGAGGGGGGTTTGCAACTTCAGGCTCACTTGAATCAGGTTTTCTACCTTTTCTCTTTGATCACAAGGGCTAGAAATTCACATTAATCATACAAATCTTCCAGTTTTAGGAGCTGGAGCTTAAAAACCTCCAGCAAATATGGCAAAATGAAATGAGAATAGTCATGAGCATTGGCAACAAGTGGGGCCACACTTCACTAACCCTATCTCCTTGGTGAGGAAGGCTGTTTGTTCTAGGCCTGGACAGTATTAAATCCACATAAAAGCTAAGTCTATGATCATTTAAATCTGCATATCTATTTTTAGGCTATGCACAGCCACAATGACAACTAGAACTAAAAACAAATGTGTTTGATGGAGAGGTCCTTAATGAGAATAATTTAAAGAACACAAGTCTGGAAGGAACCTCCCAGCTTATCAAACTGAGGACCTTATTTTCATAGGCAATGACAGCATACAAGCTTTTCCATGACCTGGTACTCTTCTTTTTTTAAAACGCAATTAGTTTTTTTGCCACCACTCTTCTACTGGAAGGCCCTCCCTGAACCTCATTGCTCTGCTGGCTTGAAACCTTGCTCTAATTCCCAATCGCAATTTATTCCCGGCCAGGTTCAACCCATTAAATGACCCAGTAGCAGACATGGCACTGACCTGCACGTCCATTTTTCAAGAGGCTCCACCGTGAAGTAGTGAAGGTCTCTAGGAAAGTGGTATTGATAGCGCTGAGACACCACCCTAGCATTTGCTTTCACAGACCACAGGAGCCCAAAGAGAAGGAGGATCCCGCCGATGCCACAGCAGAAGAAGCTGACGGACCTGAGCAACACATTAGAGGAGCTGGAGCTGGGGACCACTTCGGCTTCTCCGTGAGGCACAACCTGAGGGTCATTACTAGATGTGGGCTCCACCTCTCCATCGCTCCACCAGGCAAAACAAAGTGTTCCTGTCACCAGCAGGACAGCCCCAAGGATGGTCACTCCATAGCGGAAAGAAGCAGCAGCCATTCTACAGATGGAGGCCTAGGTATCAAACAGTTCAAAAGGAAAAAGTGACAGGGCCTATATCATGGAGTAAAGGAAAGGGATGGGGGTCAATAGGAACACTGTCCTGATTTCCAGAAGGGAAAGTCTCCCAGATAGGACAGTTGTCAAGCTTGGACCACTCTGCAGCTTTGACACCACCGTGTTTTCTTAACTTGCTTACTAGGGGCCAAACTCTGCCCTCATAAATGGAATTCCTACCACGACAAATGGAAACTACGCACATGTCTGAGGAAAGAAACGCAGGAACAAATATAGCTGCGGCTGTGGGTATGTGAACTTTCCTGTAGCCTTATAAATATCTTTATAGCTTAAAAGAAATCCTGATGTTCACAGCGAGGCTAAATGAAAGCCTAGAATTGTGGATCCCAGCAGTCAGCTCCAGGGACTTGCATAAATCTTGTCTTTGGATTTCATTCCCAACTTCCTCCCTCTTGGAAAAGTGCCAGATTGTTTTATGATCAAAGCAAAGCTCTTTGAAAGAGGTTAGGGGAAAGGACATAAATGTATGATGTCATCACTTCCAGATCAGTTAAAATGGTTCGTGTCTATGTAATCTCCTCTAAAAAGTGAATGCAGATAATAGGCCAGAGAGACGGCATGTATCCTGACACAGCTGAACGATAAAATACAGCTGCAAACAGAGCAGGCAGTGTGGCCCTCTTGCTCTCTGAAATAAAAGGGCCTAGCCCAATCTCTCAAAATTATGCAGACTAAGATGTATGCGTGTATTCTGGATGCAAGTGAGCTATTCACAAGACCCCATGCCCTCCACAGAGGTTCAACCTTTGATACGCAGTAATATTCAGAGACCTTGCAGCATTCTGGAAATTCTGCAGCAGTTTCATTTAAATAAGACACAGTATTTATTTGATATTAAATGTTATCTTTATGCTCTCCTGAAGTTGTAGTTTTTTCTACCAACAGTACATCACTTCAACCCAGGAGGTGCTATGGCGCTGTAGAGCTGGGGAAGGTACATTAGGGCAGCCGGCATCCTGAAATTATGGGGCAAGCAAATGAGCCAGATATTGCTACTGAAATAATCAGCAATGATATAAATACCAGAGCTAAGATCTGTGTTGTTATTAGAGTTCAGAGTTAACCACACACTGGGATCAACAGGAAAGTTCAAGCTGTGCAGGGCTATGGTTTCAACAGCCTCAGGGAGTCAACACCATATTAGTTGATTTGAAAGTATGAACAATGTAATCTTCAAAGCCATTATGGCCAGAAATAGGTTCTGAAGCACCATTCCCTAACATGGAAACGTCTCCATGGCTGTGGCACTGTGGGGCACAGGACACTCTTTCCAGGTGAGTTGGAGTTCGGTGGCTTTAAGCAACTCTTTCCAGCTGTTAAATGCAGAATGTTTGCCTCTGAAAAATGTAATGTTACCAGTGAAATGATCAAAAAAAGGGCGGTGACAAAACTATGCAGTTGATGAAACTTAGAATAAAAACAGGTGGCTTAAGCCACGTTCCCTCAACTGATTTGAAATCATCTTAAAGGATCACTGCTGTTCTTGAAGGACCCTTTCAAACATTACATTTTGCAGACCAGACTCTTCTAACTACACAGTTGTGTAGCCTCCACTATGACTCTCTCCCTGGATTTTTATAGCTGCCTTCAAAGGCCTCTTTTAGAATCATTTGGGGGGGGGGGGGTTT